TTCAAGGGCAAAGCTTCTGTTGGCTGCAGTGAGATGGCCAGATCAGGGGTTGCAGAATCTCAAAACACTCCTGGAATCAACAAGAACAACTGTTTATGCTGAACTTGCACCACCTAAGAACTGAATTTGTTCTCTGTGCTGCAGGGCTGTACAGCTGTAAATGTTTGGCAGCTTCTAGCTGGATCTTGAGAGAAACAGGAGACCTGCTTTCAGAGGAAATTTCATAATGTGCATGTGGCCTCACTTCTTCCTTAGTGGCAGAGATGATGAACCGCAAGTGCAACGTGAACGTGTTGGTAGAGGAACAGAAGGCAAAAAAAAATAGGCAAACTTTTTGTAGGTACTGAAGGAGAAACACTAGATCTTCATATTAGGTGAGCTGGTATAGTCATTGCAGAAAATGGGAGGTGTTCCCAGTGTCTAAAATGTCATGGCAAAAAATGGCGGGAGAAGGTCTGGATGAAATTCAGTGGTGTAAGTGGCAAGTCCCTGTGCTTTTTGACTCCCAGTACAAATGTATGCTGTAAAGTTGTAGGTGGTTTGGTTGGGTTTTTTTGAACCAGAGAAGGAAAGCCACCTATGAATGTATTTACTAGTCAAAGGATGATCATGAGTGTATGATGCAGCCATGAGAAATGTGTCACATGTCAGGGAAAGTGCAGTTAATGTCTAGAGTGCTGCACACAAACCTGGTCACCTGCAGTCAGGAAAGATGAATGGAAGCTGGACCGGGCACAGATAAAGGCAATTAAATGGGTGATTTTAGGCTGAACCTTGGGCAGCTTTTGAAATGGGTTACAAGTGTGGTTATTTGTGATGATGGCAGGTGACAGACGACTGCTATGGGTCTGCATTTCCCTCTTAGCCTGCAGGCCATGGGACACAGGGGGGCTGACTCCCCAGCAACCTGGGTCATGACCTGGGTGTCCATGTGGCAGAGCTGAGGGTGGCTGCTTCAGTGTTTTGATGACCCACCTGGAGAAGCAGAGCTGTTCTCATGCCAAATCTTGAACTGGTTCTGTTTCTCCTAGTCATCTTGGGAATTACTGGATACAGAAATACTGAGCTGTAAAATCGAGGTTATAGACATTGTAATTTATAATACAGATGGTAGTCCTGTGAGATTTAATTTTGTGAGCTGATTTTTTTTGTGTGTCACTTGTTTTAGGCATCTGTCCCACATTTGGTCCTTGGCAGGTAACAATTGTGCACAATAGTATTTTGTAGCCCTTTAATTAATTTTGCCTGACTTTCTTTTTCCAGGCAATTATGCCAGAAAAAGGTTCAAGAGGACTTTGTTTTTGGGCACTGATTTAAAATAAAATAAAAAGCACTAAATAAACATAATTATTTGCATACTATTTTTACTAGTGTGTTTGTGATATTGGAAAATTCATATTCATAAAAGACATTTGTTAAGAATCTATTATTAGATCATGACACCTACTCAGAGTTACAATTTTTCAACACCTCTTGATTCATCCAGCTTTGCAGTCTTTTCCTGTTCTGTTGGGGACAAAAGTGATTTCTTATGACTGGGACATAGTGTATCATCATGTTTGTTTATTAGAGTGTATGAAAGAATGACAAAGGGGATTTAGTTTTGGATTTATTTGATATTCTGTACAGTGATGACTGATAATAGTTGTTACTAGTGTACTTTCAGTTGTTATTAAACAAAGTCTTTTCTTCTTTTTTTTTTTTTTTCTTTTTTTTTCTTCCCCTCACAGACTGTAGGAAATTGCATTAAGATCCATTGTAATCCCATTTTAGTCACTTTATTCCATGTAAAATATGAAATCGTGAGCATCAGGTTTACCCAAACACGACTAATACTAACTTACATGTCAGATAAGATCTATTACTTGATATTTAAGAATAAAAATTGAAGCTACATGCTGGAATATGGGTGGAATTATTTCTCCTCTTAAAAAAACCTTATAGCTAAAATATTACTGTAGAATCAGGAAAGAGGATATAAATGTCCTGTGAGATGAGAAAGTAAACAGATTTTCAGTACAGTAGAGTAGGGCAGTTGTGCTTTATGTGTTCACAACAAGTACTGAACCTGAGTGCCTTTCAAAGGCAGTTGCCTTTCCTAGCCTTGCTTGTTGTGGTCTTGCCCTCCCTCTTTCCAAGCTTGTGAGGAATTGGAATATTTAAGCAGATTATTTTTTTCTGAAGTAGCAGAGGAACTGCATTCCTCCTGTATGTTTCACCTCTGGTCTCCTCTTTTTATGTTCTTGTCACAAGGATAAGGTAAAACATAGTTTGACATAGTTTGTTGTTTCTGTTACTGAAATACAACATGCTGTTGATGTGATTTATTTTTTAAAATGTTTCAAAAGATGTTTTCTTTATTTTCAGTCTTTTACCTGCGCTGATTGAAAAGGATTATTGCTTTCATTGTAGGAAAAAAAGGATTAAAACTGCCAGTGGTACTAGACTATACCAGCAGAGATGTGCACTGGTCCTGTCCTTCCTGCTTTTTCTCTCCCATGCTTTCCCGTCTCTTCCTTTTTGCTGAGCCTGGGGCATATCTGATGCACAAACTGGTCTGGGAATCCAGCTAAAAATAAATCCTACCCAAAACATGGTCATTTGCGTCCTGGTTCCATAAAGAACTACTTACCCAGGATCCAGTGAAAGAGGTCTGCTTTCTGTTTGTTTGGGGTTTTTAAAACTTATTTCTATTTGTACTTTCTGACCCTAGCACTGGCAGTATTCGTCAGTGCAACAGCTGTTATGAAAAGTGTTCTTGTCACCTGGTCAAAAGAAAAGGGAGAAATTCCCAAGTTGTCTCACAGGTTCTCAGTGTGTTTTCTGGGCTGGTATCGAAGGAACTTGAAGCATGTGAATTTAACTGAATGGCTCCTGTGAAGTGTGATTGCTATTACCTGAGAGCTCTTTGTAAATTCATTAATACCTCGTAATCTAGATTTATACCAAACCAGCTTGTGTCTAGGGTATGATTTGCAGGGTTTTGTTTCCAGGAGTTTACAGACTGGGAGAAGTGTGCATAGAGTCATAGAATGTGTGAGGTTGAAAAGGACCTTTAAAAGTCATCTAGCACGGTCCCCCTGCAGTGGACAGGGATCTTTTTAACTAAGTTATGTTGCTCAAAGCCTCGTCGAGCCTGACCTTGATGAGGTCAAGGGAGCTCAGGATGGGGCCTCCATCACCTCTCTAGGCAACCTGTTCCAGTGCTTCACCACCCTCATTGTAAAGACTTTCTTCCTGATGTCTAATCTAAATCTACCCTGCTCTAGTTTAAGACCATTGCTCCTTGTTCTTTCACTACACACCTTTGTAAACCATCCCTCCCCAGCTTCCTGTAGGCTCCTTCAGGTACTGGAAAGTTGCTATAAAGTCTCCCTGGAGCCTTCTCCTCTCTATGCTGAACAACCCCAACTCTCTCAGCCTGTCTCCATAGGAGAGGTGCTTCAGCCCTCTGGTAATTTTTGTAGCCCTTCTCTCTATTCACCATGAAAGGCCGGATCTACCCTCTATGATTAAGGTCCCTGATTTCCAGGGTACTTCCATGCAACACATGGGAAATTTTCTATCATAATTTAGAAGACTAAAAATTCTGGAAAGCATTTCTTGCATTAAACATGCAAGTAATAAAGCCACACACAAAAAACCCAGAAGGTACTCATCTACCCAAATCCCTCGGGGTATTGGCCAGTCCCTTTTCTTCAGACCACTTGTCTTGACTGATTCCTCTTTATTTTCTCATCCTCCTTCCTGCTGTTTTCTGCTATTAATGAGTTCTCCCACCTGCCTCATTCCCCAAAACACTTCAACACTTGACCATCTGTCACTGCTGCTGTGTATCCTTACTGTAATAAGAGAAAGTATCGACCTTGAGCTGGGATGTACAGTCTGTGATAAATAGCTTACAAACTGGCAAATAAACCAATATTACAAATCACTTGCTTTGTACATTGCACATAAAATGACATGAAATATGGAGGCTGCTAGGTCTAAGCACTCAGTCTGTAAGTACAGTTCTGAGTAAAACATGTGTCTTGTAAATCCACAGAGATTTGTAAAGTAACATGGACCCATGCACGTGCACCGGGCAGTGGGATTCATGCCCTGCCCTAGTAATGCATTTGATATATGAGTTGGCTTAGGTTATTAGCTGCAGCTTTATATGAAGCTTTTGCAGATGCCTTTACAAATAAAAATGTATTAAATGACTGCATGAGTACAGAGACAGTAAATGTATTTTCCAGAAAATGGTTATTTTTTGTTTGCTTAAGACTA